TTTTATTGCTTTTAGCTTATTTACTGAATGAACTTTTTTTTTGTTATTGTTGAAAAATTTGAGAAGTTATTGTTTGACTCAGTGAAAATCTTAGATATTTTTTCTATGTTTGGTGTAATGAATTCATACCAGTGTGTGAATGCAAATCTCACTTGTTGTGTTTACCCCCACTCCAAATTTGATTAAGATACAAAAATAAATTCTAGCAGTAAATGTGAATTTTAATGATATATGATTGCCAAGCTTTTCAAATCCAGAGTCAGAGTAATATTTAATTGTTTCCATGTAGTTTTAAGGCCCTGAAATTGTCTTTGGCATCTTTTAAAGAAAAAAGTTTTTAATAAATATTATTTATTCTTTTGATGAGGAAAAAACAGCTGCCTTTGATGACCAACAACTGAATATAAATCACTAATACAGATTTGTTTGTTTTAGAATATGTATTTTATTTTATCTTTTAATTCCAAGTAGTGATCAAATATAAATTTTTGCATGACTTTAGAATAGTGAATTCAGAATTCTATTATCTGATATTCATTTTCTGATAGTGAAAAAGAAATTAATAATGATTTTGAAAATAATTGTTTCACAAGTAAAATTAAAACTATTGAACCAGTCAAATTACTTAACCCAGAGTAGCTTGAGTTTTGTTTTCTGAATACAGCAATAATTTTTAATTCTGGGGTAATATTTTCTCTGACATGAGTGTGGCTTTAAATGGCATAAATAAAAAGAGGGGGAAAAGTATAAAAATATTTACTTAGAAAAATCCATTTTGTGTATGAAAAAATTAAAAAAAATATTTCGGTACTTGGAATAGATTCAAAAATCTGTAAAATATTATCAAGATTAGTTGCCTTTATTTTGACACTCAAAGTTCCAATAAAAGTAAAAGTGACCGTGCTACTTGTGAAGTAGTTGTATTTATTCATGAATCAATAAATCATCAGTTGTGACCTCATTAGTAAATTCTTCTTTACTATCACTTGATAAATCTTGGCTTGATTGATCTCTTTCACAAAAATATTTGCAAAGCTCTTCATCGCTGCTTCACCATAGAAGACAAAAAAATTTGAACTTTCTCAGACTTAAATATCTTCTCAGTTAGAGGAAGATGTGCTTATTTGATGCCCTGAATCATGCATGCATCAATCATAGCAAAAACAGAAATGTTATCTTTTGAATTTATAGTTTTTATATATGTGTGAGTGTTGGAAATTTCTTTCATTTGTAATTGAGCCATACAACTGCAAGAACCGAAATTTCTGTCATCTGCAGTTAATGTACTTTTCCTTGTATAATTTGCTTTGATTCCTCATGATTAATCATAAAATAAAAATTTCAACATCTCTTGTACACAACCAGAACTTAGATTTTTTTTTTTTATCATGCAGGTTCCTATTTACTGAGTTTAGCATTGGTTTATTCTGAGCACAACCTCATTTACAAGCCAATGCAAATTTTCACCTAAATTCTAATTCCTTGTCAATAATGTGTGATTGTTAAGATATGTTGTTTCTTTCTTTGCTTTTTGTCAGTTTCATGTAGGCAGGCATTGACAAGATTCCTGCTGATATGCATGAATGAAAGTGCATGCAGGCATGCAGACCTGCACGAATAGGCATCTTTATGCAAGTCTGCACACTTCTGTGCCTTCAATGCACAATTCTTGTTAAACATGTCTGTTCGTTCTTCTCTTGGAATATGAATTCACCTCCTCCTTTTCCTTTCCTTCTCACCAAAAAGAAATCAATTTGCTTCTGGTTTTGTTCTGTTTTCTCTCATTGAAGTTGTGTTTATGCAACGAATAACAGGAATTTTATACATTTAAACTCTTTTTTTTTTCTTTTTGTTTTAAGTGTCATTTTTGGCAAATTTTTGGACAAAGTTGCTTGTCTCTCTTCAAAACCTGTTGCTTTTAAAATAAACATATATGCATTTTGCAAATTGCAAGTTATCTTCGGCTTTAGACCAGCATTTGTAATAAAATCCAAAGTGCATGCTTTTGTAGTTTAAATTCAAAAATATATATGATATTTATTATAATTTAGAAAATTCTTAAAAGGAATAGAAAAAAATCCAATGCAACATGACCAATAAAAAGATTCATACAAATCATTGTTTTAAATGTTCTTCATTAGAAACTGAATTCATTTTTACAGCAAAAATTGAAATAGAAGAGTCAATGATGTCAATAGTGCAATACGATTTCTGAGTTTTTTGGGGTTTTTTTTTATCTTCTGACTGATATGGAAAAATACCAATCTCAACTGTTGCTTCAATATTTTCATTCATTAAAATAATTTAGTATTATTCAAAAATGGCTTATTTTCTTGTTCCTATTAAAACTTCATCAGAATTGATTTTTATTTTAAATTGACATTGCTTGGAAAAAATGCAAACACACTTTGAAATTTTATTATTTAATCATGTTTTTTAAAGCTAAATGGTTGAGTTGATTAATGACAAGAATGAGAAGCAGGGAAACTGAATTAGATTACAATCATTATTTTATATTCAATCAGTAAATCCTGCCTGTTCTTGGAATTTGAAAAAGAAAAAAAATAAGGTTTTTGAGTTTTCTGACCAACCAATCACAGCAGAAAATTAATAAAAACCAGATTAGTAATAGAAAATATTCCTTATTAAAAGTTGAATAAGCAGCAACTTTGACTATATTATCTTCTAGTTTATTAATGGTTTGGTACTCTTGAAGGAGTACAACATGAAATCAGGAGGTTTAAAAAGTAATAGATTAAATGGTATTGACATTTAGATGGTTATTAAGGCATGTCTGTGTTGTGTCTCATATATTTAAGCTTTAATAGTATTTTGAACTTGACTTTATGGCAGGAAGTGCTGTGTTACTGTCAGTGTCTAGGCTGGAAGAGGAGTATTTATGTTTGAATTTGCATGGAATAGGGTAGTGTGGATGGCTTCAGGTACAATCCTTTAAAGGCTTGGGAGAGGGACATGTGTGCATGCTTACAGGACCTGCTGGCTTCTGCTTTCCTGTGTTTGACAATGTTGGCCAATATTTGTGGACCAGCTTGAGGGAAGGATCATTGCTGTTAGCACAACCGTGTCGGTGCATGTCTCTACCATGGCAAGAGGCATGTACGCACATAAACACACACACATGCTGACATGGCCATGTACACGTGTGACTCATATTTGAGCTCCCTGAGACTACTTTTATTTCTCTCTCCTGACGCCACCATCTTTAGAGCCCAGCACGTCCATGTCATGTGCTCATGTAGACACATCTTCAAACACTTATGCTATCTCCTTTTTTCACATTGACTACAAGTATTTCAGAATGAGGCAACAAGCAAGATGAACTTTTTTACTGCTTAAGTGTTCGTAAGTTAAGTGCATATTCATTTTGACCTACTGCTCTTAAAATCTTTGCCACAACAGTAATAATAATAATCTTGGATCTTGGTGTTTCTGTTTGGTAAGTTGTATTATTTATAAATACAATTGTAAATTCTAGTGACAGCAAATTAGTTTCTTTCTCTGCTTGTTGACAAGTGATCGTGGATTTCTTGTAATCCTTACTCGCTGGAAATTGAAAATCATTTTCAAAAGGATTTTTTCTTTTTACATTTTACTTAGTTTTTTTCAAACAATTTAAAAAAATAAGGATTTATTTTAGTTGTTTTCTTCATTTAAAATTGCATCCAAATTAAGTGATGTTTTGTGTCATTTTGATTCAAAACAGATTGTCAAATTTTTGAAAAATCTGCAGAAATTGCTTAAATTTGCAAGTAGCAAAATAGTTAAACTTTTAACAGGCTTGAACTACTTTGTTTCTGATTTTCATGGCATTGTAACATAAACTGTTTTGCCAAATATTTAGAAATATATCATTCCTTGAATGCTATACAAGTTATTTTTGAAAGCAAATTAACCTGCCTTGTGGCTGAAATAGTTGTGCATTTTTCTATGATACCAGAATATAAGTTAAATTAAAAACAAAGATCTTTGTATGTTGATTTTTCAAAGTTGGTAGGCCTTCCTTTCTTGGCAAATTGGTGCAGCACAATCTTTTTTTTCCTTTCACTTGGTCTTGTACCATACTAAGTGAAATTTATTTAATAAATATTCTTAAATAACTGTTTTAAAAACACATGAAGAGAGAGTCATCTGCTTAATTTATTTTTTTTTTTAAATGAAAGCGTTTTCCTTCTGTCAATAAAATATAAGAAATAGTTTTTTGAAGTGTTCATTTTAGGCTACTGATTGAATTCAGACATTTTCTGCCATTCTTCCTTGGATTCTCAATATTTTCACCAATTTGTGGATTTTAACCAAACTGTATTGAATGATAGAGAATTATCCATTTATTATTATTTCTTCTCTTTTATTGAATTGCTTTTTCATTTGCAAAATGGTGACAACTAATTAAATCTCCTCTTGATTGCCAGTCACTTGATTTGAATCCCATCAACTTGCGTTTCTTGCTTCCTTATTAATATTTAGATTTACATTGAGTTTAGATAAAAATGACAGTTTTTAATCATTTTGAATTCACCCATTAGTTTCATAACTTATCTTTACAAACCTTTATTTTAAAATATTTTCTACTGAAATCTCATCAGACAATCAAATCTGGGATATCATGAAAATTGTGTTCTTCCATTTTTTATTTCTCTAAAGACTTCTTTCATTTCTCTTTCACTCTCTATAACCCCTTGTGCCCTAGTGGAATTATTGCTTGGGGTGAGATGATTAAAAAATATTCCACTTGAAAATACATTGCATACATTTCTTTTAGCAAAATTTGATGTATTGAACCTAGCTGCCATCATCTTGATAAAATAGTTGAGGAAAGAGATTTAAACTCTTCCAAATTTTTTAAAAAGTTTCTAGTTTCTAATAGATAACATTTTAGAATTTTGTTGATCCCTAACTGAATGTCCTATAAATTTGCTGATTTTTAAACTGCTTGTTGCTAAATGTCACTTAACTTATTTTAATTTATTGCTGAGTTTTCTGATTTGTGTTGCTTGTAGTTTAAATATTTTGCTTATTGAAGATATTGGCATATTTCTTAAAACCTAATCTCTTTCTTCAGAATTTTTGTCTATTGCTAAAGTAAAATATTTCAGCAACTAAGTACCAACAAGAATTGATATTTTTCTTTGCAATTGCAAAAATGAATGACCAGAAATATTGCTCTTACTAAAATACATTTTTGTATTTCAAGTAAATATCTTCCTTTGCATATTTGCTAGAATAATTTGACTATCGTTGTAGAAGTTATTTTTATTTCATTTTCCTATATATCTTTCCTTTATCTCCATAATCGATCATTAGAACCAGACATTGTCTTTCTGCCTCTCATAGAAAAGAAACATTGCTATTGTCTATTGCTCCTGCTGATTATTATTATTATTATTTCCCTTAATTTCTGTTGTATACACATTTCCTTCCGGACCCCAACCAGAGACCTAAGATCAGAAATGGCTTCGACATTTTCCACTGATCATTTTTGTAAAAAAAAAAAAAAATTAATATCACACATATTTTACATAGATAACACTCTTTGTAATGTGTGAGCTGTACTTGTGACAGGCTATGAGGAATTCCTTCAATGAGTCTATTGGAATCTTTTCTAATCAATCCAAGGGCCCCAAGTACAACTGGAATTATTGATGTCCTCATGTGCCACATTTTGAGATTTCCACTTCAAGATCCTTGTATTTTGATAGTTTTTTTTTTTTTTGAAGATCTTCAAATATACATTACAGGGATTGCCATGTCAATAAGAAAGCACATTCTGTTTTTGTGGTCTTTGATCATGATTTACTGATCTTATAAACATAAAGAATTAGCTGTGATATATAAAGCAAAAACTATGAGAAATCATCCCATTAAATTACACAGCATTATGACTAAGATTATATTAAGAATAGCAAGTCCTGGAAGGTGGTATTGAAGCAAAGAAGAGATTTGTTTCTTCATCAGTTTGGTGAAAAAAAAAAAAGCACTGTGATGAAGCAATACACAATTGCATGTCACCAATTATTAGGAAAACGAGGGAATTCTAGCGTCAATGATGCAGAATGGTAGCATTCAAGAAATGGGAAACATTTGATTTATAATTCCATATTGGACTGAATTTTTCTTTTTCTTTGTGTCATGTTGAAGAAGCAAATATAAATCCCTTTGAGATAAAGACCTGACATATGATAAGGACATGAGCAGTGCTATTATTTCCTTTGTTGCATTTGCCAGTAATTAGACAGACAAGACCAAGTGGATAGCTTCGATGATTCTGAAGTGATTGATGCCCTGCTTAGAAAGAGAAATGAATGATTGAATCCTAACAACTGTAAATGATTGGAGGTATTAGTTTATTGCAGTTGACTGAAATATTTTTTTTTTCTTTTTTTAAACTAATTTCAGAATTAGTTGTTAATTGTAGGAGAAATAATGTTGATAGTGATAGTAAAATGGTAAGACCAATTTTAAGCTGTTTTGATTTTCAAGTGTTTGCTAAACTGGTTGTGGCTTTGGATTCTTTTTTAATTTTGGACTTTCTTTTTAAAATTATATTCTTTAATGGGTACTTTCATTTTGTTTTTTTTCTTTCCACATTTCACTTTTTTTTTTTTTTTTTCAGATGTTTTTTGTTGAGAACTTAATTTCTTTTTTTTATCAGTTTTCAAATTCTTAATCTCTTCATTGCATACAAGTTTTTCTCCATTTTTTTTTTTTTTTTAATCTTTTTGCTATGATTTCACCAATCATCTGAAATTTTTGAGCAGATTGCAAGAAAACAAAACTTACATTACTTTCTTATTTTAAAATGGAAGCATTTGCTCATCAAGAGTATTTCTCTTTTTTACAAGCAACGATTGGAAATAATGTTATTGCAAATTTTTGAAGTTTATATTTTTCAATGCAAGCAGTTGATATAATTCTTTTTTATCTTCTGATTTCATTGTAAGTTGTTTCTTTGTTGACTTACTTCCTACTCAACGAGTTTCTTGTCCTTTCCCTATTCATTTTGCATGATCATTATTACACAAGTTTTTTGTGCAACTTGTGCTCTATGTGCAAGAAAGATACATATTGACGTTATGGCTATATAAGAAAATTCTCTGAAGCTTCATTTTCTTATGGTTTTCTCTGGTTCAAGATCTTTTGTTGTCAATTGAAGACGTGATTTTTGTCATTTAAGTGGACGAAAGATATTTTTTTAAAAGAACTTTACAAAATTCAACTATAAATATTTACTGTTTACATCCTTTTTTCTTTTCGGCATTTGAAAAAAAAAATGATATTTCCTATTCAAAACAACTTGAAGATCATTCATGAAGATGTGTAATTAAATTAAATTGATGACTTCTGAGCAAAACTGCACTTGGAATTTTGTCTTTTGTATAACAAGCCAAAGCCAATCTGGAATTTTTTGCTTTTAATCTGGTGATTTTTTTTTCAGTTTGCTGTTGTAAACTAATTTTCTTTTCATGCCACTTTGGATGTCTTTTACCTTTCATGGTCCAAGCAACATTTAAAACATTCAAAACTACTTACTGTATTTTCACTACTACTTTTGATTTTCATTTTCTGCTTAAAGGAATTTTCTTTAGTTTTTAGTGTCTCTATAATGTCAGGTTTTCAAATGATTACTCTAGATTTTAATTTTTATTTTCCCTTGTTACTTGGCATATTCATTGAACCTACACAATCTTTGTTGAGCAACTTCCTAATAAAACTTTCATCTGAATTGTTTTTTTTTTCCTCAAGTAGCAACCACTTCTCTTCATCTCAAGCTGAGTGGTGACCAAAGCAGAAAGCAAGGTTTATTTTCACATTCTGTTACCTATAATGGTTCTGTCTGTGTGTCCCAATACAAATCTGCTATCAATCTCAGCTGCAAATGAAACAACCCAGATTATCATTTTCAACCCAATTATGATTAATAATAATAAGCATTAAGTTATCAATACCATCTTTATCACTGTAAACTTTTTATATGTTCAGTGTAGAGTTTCTTTTTAACCATAAAAAAAAATTAAATTGTTTGGTCTTGTCACTAACTTCAATGAATACTCAAGCTGAGTTTATAATGATTTTTATGTTAAAATGTTGAATTTACAAGATTTCTTTGTCTGAATTAAACTATGTGAAATGAACTTTGTTGTTTAGATTCTAAAATAATTTCCAAAATACATTGTCTTTCATCAACAGGGTTGCCAAATGATCTCATGTAATAGAAATTATGGTTCCTAGCTAATCATTCTCTAAAATACGTCTTTTTCCTTCATGCACATAGATCGAATAGACCTACTGAGTGTGGGACTCGAAGAAATAATCCTATTGTTATTTCTTTATAGATTCATCTAGATATTTTTTCTTTCATTTGATTCTGATTGTGTCTCTATTTGGATTTGTTTCTCTCTTTCAGATGAAGAAGGTGTATCAATAGAAGAAACTACTTTGGAAACTGGCAAACGGAAATCTGTGGACAACTCCAGCCAGAATGCTAGTGACTGTGACAAAAGTGGAATTTGTGCGGCCACCGACGACGAGGAACAATCCCTCGGAAAAAATAATGAAGACACTAGTGATAGTGACACTATAGTGGAGGGCACCATAACAGCCCAGACAGTTAACAAAACCCAACAGGAAAAGACTGTGTCCCCTTCCATTGCCAAAAACTGTGATAATAAATATGCTAGAGACTCTAGTAGCAAAAGTAGTTCTGTTGAGAAGAAAACAACTGAAAACAAAGAACAACTTCACTCGGGTATCCATGGCAGTACTAGACAGTTGCGTAGAAGTTTGAGAAATTGTCGTTCAAATGCTCAAAAGTCCCTAATCACACCAGAGCCATCCATTCAGAAACGAGTGGATGAAGACTTGGCTTCTTCTCCACCTGACTATACGTGTCCATATTGTGGCATTATAAAAAACAGTCCAGCTGAGTTGACCAGACATGTTAACAAACATACTGAAGAAAAATCTTTTGTCTGTGAGGTGAGTAGTAGCATCTTTTTTCTATGTTTATTAGATTTTTAGATGTGGACAAACTTTTGCCAAAACCAAATTATTTTATTCTGGGAAAAAACTATGTATTTAATATTTTGACAGAGGGAAAATAGTTTCATATTTGAAATTTTTGCTCCAGGAAATATTTCAGTTCTTTCAGCAGAATATTTAATCTTTGTGATTGTGAATGCATTTTCATTTACAGCTACCTACCAATACTGCTGTTTCTAGAATAACTTTTTGCTGTCAGATTTGTCACTCAAATATTGACTTACAAGAGTTAATTGAAAAGTTTGTAGTCTGCCATAAAAGGATACTGGTATGCAAATTTGCATGTTAAGTTTCACTCTTTAGTTAATTAACCACTCTATATTATTCAAGTTTGTAAAATAAAAAGTTAAACCCATTTGAGAAAACTGGATGAAGATGAGTATTATCAAGAGTTTTCAAATGGTTTAAGTAGCAAGCAAACACAAGAAAAATATGCTGCTTCCAGAATGGGAAGATAACCTCAGGTCATACACACAATGAAATTAATAACTATACATGATGAAAAATTTATAACTAACCATTCAGTACATCCTGTATAAAAATATCTTCTAAAAGAGTTCAAGCCATTCCAATAAGCTGTTCATGACAAGAGTCTGAGTATGCACACATTTTCTGATCAAAAACATTACACTGCATCTCACTTTTAATTTATCTTCATTTTTAAGGATTCAAGGGATTCACAGAAATATTTGCACTATTAGTGTGTACAATATTTCATATACTATGTATAAATTATAATATTTTATGTGTCACTCTAGCAACAGTTCTACGAATTTTACTGCATTTTTCAAGTTTCATATTATCAACAACATTGCTAAAACTCTGACAAATATTACATTGTAGTTAAAAAATATAGTTGCAGAATGTACACAAAGTTTACAAAAACAAATATCTGGAAAAAAACATATCATTGTAATAATGCTAATGTTATAAAGACAGCATCAATGTGAAATGTATGCCCCATTTTCTGAAACTAATTTTAAAAGTCATTCATCTGTGCTGGTAAATTACAATCAGCCAATGTAAGTTTCCCCTTTCAGAATGCTCCACAGTTTTTCAATCATATTAAAGTCAGGTGAATAAACCAGCCACTTCATCAAAACGTGCCTTTGAAACCCATATATATATATATATATATATATATATATATATATATATATATATAAATAAATAAAGTTTTCTTTAATAAATGTAATGAAGCATTCATCATTTTTCTGAAAGTGTTTGGCATCAAATTATTTTATGTCTGATCTGTCATCTTGATAACATCTGGAACTCACCATGAGTCCACCATTTGTAATCCCACCCCAAAACATCACACCACATATGCCTTGTTGATGTTGTAACCTATGAATGTTGTTTCACTAGCAGCCAGCCAGCTTTTCCTTCCAGTCGGTGAAAAGAATGTTTGGAACATTGGTTTTCCTGTATTCTGTTGCCAATTTCATTTGATTTTTTTTCTCTGATGCATGTATTTTAAAGGCCTTATGATCAATCTCTCATTTTGAGAACCTGATGTTTTGTCATTTTTGATACCTCTCCCTGTCACAATACATAAAAAATTCATAGCTTGGCAAATTTTGACAGATTTTGTATACCTTCTCCCTTGATATAAGATATGGGAATGACATACTCAACTTGCCTTTTTCAAATCTGCATCAGTCATTCAGGATCTTCAGCGGACTTTTCCAAAATTCAGTGGTACTTGCTGATCCTTTTAGTGATTTTCAATGTTGCAAACTCTGAAGTTATTAAACACTTCTCTTTATCTGTCAACTCAATCTTCCAAACCATTTTAAAACTCCAAATTTTCAACGTGGCTATTACTTTGAGACTTCAAAATTCCATACATTTAATTCAAACAGCTGCCATTTGTTTACATCTGTATAGAATGATTTCATCTTAAGTGCACAGAAATTTTGCCATCATTCAACAAAGAAACAATAAATACTTATTTCAGTTATTGATGAAAATGTGAAGTGGCTAATAAGGCGAGTTGCAGTGTTTGTCTCATAAACTGTGTGGCTTTGATTGACTCCCTTTTGGTCAACCTCAGATACACAAATAAATTTAACTTTTCTAATTTATTAGTAGAAATAAAGTTTAAGCAAGAAATCAACTTTAAATAGTTTCAGTTCTAATACTTTTCAAATTTTTATTTGTTTAACACATCCCCAAAATACATTCACATATTTCCTTGTCCCTTGAGATAAACCCTGGTGCTTCTGTGTAACACTTCTAGCTTTCACACTTTCCTACCTTTTATTATTAGAGTTTAAAGATTTAAACAGTATTTGCTCTGTGAGCAACTTTTAATGCAGGCATGTAGCTCTTAACACAGGTTAAATGAAATATTGTTGGTTTTCATGTTTTACTGAAAATAATCAAATCTATCTAGGCTAGTCTTAAGCTCAAATCTGTGCAGAAGATTTTGTGTGTAAAATTTTGATTCAGTTACCAGAGAAATTAAGCTGTCTGAAAATAACATAATCAGAGAAATATGTTTTTGTGTGTGCACGCACCTACATACATTCACTAAGTTAATATACAAAGCTTTCTCAGTTATTTGAATTAGATTAGGAATTAATTTATTCCTAATCAATTCCATTGGATTACTGACATATACTCTCCATGCACATTTCCCACTAGATTTGAACTGTAAAATGACAGGATAACAGTATTTATGATGTTCTTTTGTAATACTTAAATTGATACTGAATGTGTAGAATTTGCAAAAGTGCCATTAAAACCAACCAAAAAAACTTTAAATTTAGATAGTATTTTCATCTTAAGTATAATATACACATTTTATTAGCACAGGCTCTGATGAAATAATTTGTAGCATAGATGCTGCATAGAGATCTCTTTAAAGATTATTGATAAACTCTTGCAATAACAAGTCACTTACTGTATGCTACCTTGCAGGTAACAGAGTACAAAACAAAATTGATTGAGAACAATGTTTAAAAAGTCTCATGTGACTTGTCTTCACAAGAATATACAGCAAATATTAATAATAATTTCAAAATAAATTTATTACATAACTCTCAGCAAGTATGATATATCTTATTTTGGTATAAACTTGAAAAATATAAATGTTTATCTATTTGATTATTCAACAATTGCTGTTTGTTTTACTTGGCTGCTTTACTGACAAATGTTTTTATTTTTATCTCCAAATAACTGTTAAAGTAAATTGATACTCGTTACTATATAAATAGATAAATGAGTCAAGCCAAACTGTTTCCTTATGAAAAAGGTTTTCCTAACAACCTCTGCAGCCTTTCAGACTAACTGCTTAGAAAAAGTTTATATAGTTTTTCAATTTGTTTAGACATCTGCAAAGGAAAAGCTATTATAAGAGAACTAAGATACTAAATTCAAAGGCTGAGGGGTTTAAGTTAAACTTAACCTGATAGTGAAAGAATACAAAAATATACTTTACAGAAAAGAAATGAAGCTTGATATTTGTATTTTGCCATTGTGTAAAATTAAGTAAAATAGGAAAAAAATGAATGGACATAATTTTTCTCATTTTTTACCTTTCAGTCTTAGAAGCTTAATTAAAACCTCAAATACTAATATTTCAATCTTTTCTTACTCTCTGGTATTGTGAACAATAACAAAAATGACAGCTTTAAAGTGATTCATTTGAAAAAAGGATAATAATGCATGTCAATTTGATAATAATGCAGGAACTTGCAATAATAAATGTCTTTTTGATGATTTAATCAAAGTTTGTTTGGATCAGTTATGTTACACTGAATGAATAATAATGAAATTAGTGTAAGAAACCATAAAAAATGATTGCCTAGAATCAGTATATTTCATTGTTTGTTGTCATTCCTTGTGAAGGCTTATGTTCATGCTTTTAAAATGAAATCTTTTAAAAACATTTGTACACTGAACTTCTATATCCTATTGGCATAGACTGCCAATTATAATCAATTAAATAACCAAGATTCTTAAACATTTTCTTTTGATGTCCTATTATAGAATTTAACCCAACTTTTTATATTAAATTTTTTTCCAAAGGAGAAAGTTTTCAATTTGTTTTGTGATGGAAGCAACACAAAGAAACTTAAAGTTTATGGTAACCAGTATAATTTTTACATGTTCTATCAATATTTTTCTTTTTAAATACTTAGGTGGATATAGATATTGAATTTCTTGTTAGTGACAAATAGATGTTTTAGTTCATCTATAAAATATTCTTAGATTTTACAACTCTTGGTAAGATTTTTATATACATGGTTGCATTTAAAATAGCTTTTCTAATCATCAAAATGACCTTGTAACATACAAAATACTTTCTAAGTATAATTATATTATTTGAAGTATTTTTAAAAATCAGTATTTTTGAATGACTTTGACTAAGTTTTTTTTTTCTATATCTAAAGATGAATAGCATCACTATTAAGTAACAAATGTCATTAAAAACTCACTTTTGTTTGTACATGATTTGTAGTCATTAACTGCTATAAAATAATTGGCAAATAAATGTAAAGTTTTTAATAAGTCCAGATGTAATTTTTATAGATTGATCTTTGTTTAAGTAATGAATATTATTTATACTTTGTGTTAAAATAAGGATAATCTGGAGAGATTTGAAACTGTCATTTAATACTAAATGCACTTGAACATGTTAATGAAGACATTAATGCTACCTTTTTATTATAAATTCATGTACATTTGCTTTTTCATTTTGTTTTGATGAAAAACTTAACACAACTTTGTGTTTTCCAAATCTTGTCAAATACTTTTTGTTTAAGAGCTGAAATCATCAAAGATTTTTGTTTCGTGTTTCTAAAAAGATCTTATTTGTTACCGAGTTTTTTTTTTGCTTTTGGGATTTGAAATGAATTTGAATTTAAAATACAAATTAGCTGCACAGATTCAACTACTCAGAATAAAGAAAGAAAAAAAGAATAATAATAATGTCTCTTAAGAATTTAATTAGCCCCGAATGTACCAAATTAAAACAAAATGTTTTCTGAAATGTATTTTTTAGAAGTCAAAGTGACATAATCAGAGTGACACTAAAAAGGAACTTTGTAAAGAATGAATTTTTACTTAAAATTCAATGTTATCTACAACACACTTATACTTTGAATAAAAATTACAGACTGTTTCAAAGATTGTTACCAATTACATAAATTATTTTCATATTATGCTTATAGTCTGAAACAAAATCTCATCTTTGTTGTCACTCATATTTTAATTCTTTGATTATAATTTTAGAAAAAATTTTGATTGCTCATTACTATTTTTCATATTTCATTATAAGAGCTTTTAATCAATGTAGGTAATTTCATGATACTTTTTAAACTAGTCAATCTGCATTTTGAAAATTTTTCTGTTTCAGGATCAATTCTCTACCTGTACTACTTAGGAATTTCAGATACTGAAAACATGTATTACATGACAGTAACACCTCTTTATTTCCTATTTTGTTGTATTTTAGTGAAACACAGATAAATTTCTCAGGTTTTAATTCTGCTAGCATTTTATTATTGTTTCTTTAAGCTTTACTTTTGATTAATAATATCATTAATTTTAAAAGTTTTATCTTTTTATCTATCAAAAGGCATTCAATTTTCAGAGATGGTCAAGGTCAATCTTGTAATACATTAAAAAAATTTACTATGTATTTTTTAATGTATTGAATGGGGTGTAAACCTTTTGTTTGTCTTGTCAAATAATTTCAATGAACTCTCTTGAAAACAATTTATGTCTAACTATATTGATGCAATGTTATTGTCTTTTCTTATACTGCAATGATAGTAAATTCTGATGTAACATCTTATGTTCTCAAAAAGAATAGAAACATTAAATACATTTCTGGAGTTCTATCTTTTCTCCTCATTCTGTATATATCTTGATAGTCATAAAACCTACACTGAATTTAAATCAGATTGTATCTAAATATCCATTTCTTCCTCAAAAATCAATGGCATAAAATATAGCTTTTATTAAAAGTAGAATAACTTCATTTGCATATCTGTAATTACAAATATCTTGACAAAAGATGTGTTGAATTTAATGTAATGTTAGAATTAAAAGTTACATGAGACGATGACCTAAATCTACATATAGACTCCAGTATAGTGAAAAGAAAATAATCCAACAATGTTTGCTATGTCATAAAATCCAAATCTATCAGTAAAGTTGTCAATATTAGTTATCTGCTAAGCTTAGCTTAATTTAGTAGAGCCACAATAATGGAGTGCCCAGCAAGGGTTTAGCTTCCCTAAACTGGTCATTACATATAATGGCACCTAATTAATCATTACAAATGGAGATGTGATCATCAAGAGATCTTGATCAGAAGCCAATATCACCCAGGTATACTTTACTAGCCTATGACGAAAAATCATGTGGCTTATATAAATAGTATTTGTATTTTGAATGCATTAAGTGATGTGCTTCTTAAAAGGTTTTAAGGTCTTTCAATTGCAAAATAATTTTTGGTGTTCAACCTGTTATTATTGGATATATTTCTACATTTTTACATTGTTAATTTCTGTTGTATGCATGCAAAATGCTGCTTGAAAATAATTCTAGCATTAGCATGTGTAGAAAACTCTTTAAAGAACTAATTTCCATCATGGAAAAGACTTCACTCTAACAATTAAAGATATGTTTTTTCTTTTGTTGTACTTTGATATTTAGTTTAAATGTTCCTGTTAATAACCACCCCCAAAAATAGCTGTTAAAAAATATCTGTAAACGGTATGAAGCATTATACAATTTTGCAAAGTAAAACTAAATATAATAAACTGTCATCATTTGATAAAAATCACAGTTCTTTGTCATTCCTTTGAAATTGTTTAAAATCTCCTTTCTGAATAAAATTAAACTATTTCTTGAATGTCGTTTAGAAAACTGTGGCCTATGTAGAACAGCTAAACAGAAATAATTTTAATATTTTATTTATAAAAAATGTTTATTTCCATTTGCAAAATAGTTCTCATTGTTCCCATCCATTTTTATAAAACATAGTAAAGAGATTAGTAAATCCCAAAACCAAGATCATGCTACTTATTTGCCTGCTGTTTTATTTGTAGTCAAAGCCATAATAATAAAAAAAAATATCTATCAAGTGAATATTATTTGTGCTTCTAATATATTCTTTTTTGTTGTTGTTGTTGTTGTTGCTTGTATTTTTTTTTTATTGAGTTTGCATCCACAGATGTTTGAACATGATACAAGAACTGGTTGTTCTGACTGTAGACTTAAGTACTGAAATTAGTAATTTCTTATTCTGGCAGTGCTACCAACTTTGGTTTTCCAGGTGTGTAAGAAGGCTTTCAAGGCCAAGCGCAGTCTGCAGTACCACCAGTTCATCCAACATGGTCGCAACATCTCAGAAAGTTCCAGTTCTGACAAAAAGAAGTCTTCATCATCTCAGTTTGGCAAACAGTGGAAAGCAGGCCATCTCCGAATGAGACCTGCACTATCTAAGCAGTTACAAACAAAGTCGGGTTCTTCGACCACACCAGCTGAAAATGCCACCAAGCAAACTTCTAAAAGTGCAACCCGTGGCTTGCCTATGAGGAGAAAATCACACAGTGCCATATCTTTGCCTTTGTCATCTGCTGTTAAAGAGGCAGATGTAGTCAAAGACGAGCCTGGCAAGGGCATCACATCCAGATTGCCAAAGAGAAGATCCTCTTTGGCAACCGGAGCGGCACGCCACCGGCCTCTGCGTCAGCCGCAAGGGGCAAATAATTCCTCAAGTTCTGGTGTAGAGGAAAGGGAGAATTGTACAGATTCTAAACAGGACAATGCCATGAGCTCCATGACAAGAAAACAGTCTCCTCCTCTTCCTGCAGCTACACCAGCAGCACCACCACCACCTCCTCCTCCTCCAAATCCACCACAACCACCACCACCACCATCAGGGCGTACCCGTGGACGTCCACGTGGTTCTGGCAGGCGTCAGACTGTCTTGTCTCGGCGGTCATGCCGCCAATGTGGCAAGGTGTTTCCCAAACCAAGTGACTTGAAACGACATATGATGGTTCATTCAGGAGAGAAGCCATTCAAATGTGAGGTGAGTCGAATGCACAATTACTAACCTTGCCATTCCAATTAACCAATTCTCTAGATTTACACACTTTTCCATTTCTTCAATCATCTCCATTTTTTTTCATCTGCTGAATTTCATAAGTTTCTTTATTCACTGAACTTGAAGGAATGGCTGTCAGAATGCTGTGTTATTTCCAAAGCATACTGCTTGTTTTCCCCAATACTTGAGGAAAAGATGCACTTCTTCTTTCTGGAGCACATAGGTTAGCATTAAGGCTGCCAAGCATTAGGGTACTCATTAAGCAGTGTAAACAACAAAGGTTTCAAGCTTCTGTCTGCAAGAAACAGGATTTCTATCAGTTATTCTGATTGGCAGTAGACAAGCTTATTTATTTTCTGCATGTTTTCTTGTTTGGTCGTCCAGTTCTTAATGTCTCACGACTTGCTGTTTTCAGTTTTTTTTATGCTTTTATCATTTTATTTTTCATTACAAATTTCAAATATTCATTTAAAGAAATTTAACATTGGCAACATGTAACAGATGAAATTCCTCTTCTGCAATTTTGACAAATAACCATTTCTGCTGGATATATTTTAATATTTCATTCGAAATTAAAACATTTCACCATCAACCTCTTATAGGGTATTTTGGATGGTAACTAAAAAAAAAACTACTTTTTGCAAAAGGCATTTTTGGAAAAGGTAACTATCTTATTCAGACAAAGAAACTGATGTACACTCTTGGGGCTAGATCATTTCTTCCTCCTTATTTACACTTTATTGTTTGTTGATACCAAAATGTGTAATCAGAAAAACCTGGTATCAAAATCTTTTTCCTTTCTGAACTAACTTTATTTTCAAACGAATTTAGGTATTTTGTCCATTTTTATTTCATCATCGTCAAACAAAGTATATTATTTAATACTGTATTTTGAGGGGATTTTTCTCTTGATTATATTGACTGATTCATGCACATAGTTGCTGACTAACAAGCTTTATTATTAAAATATAATTTTCAGGTGTTCTGCATCTGTTTCTCTAACTGCAGTTGTTAATATTTTAATCTCTCTTTTGACCACTATTAATGGTAATTGAAAATAAATTAAATTTTCTGCATCTAAGAGAGAACTCTGTCTCATGCAATTTGATAGCTGCAGTTTTAGAATCGAAAAAAGTCACTAATTATTCTAGCTTGAGATTTTAGAGGTGTGTTCTTCATTAATGTAAACCCCTGTCATTAAATTCTTCCAGTTTCCCATCTCAAATCTGAATCCCTCATTGCAGCTTTTCCATTTTAATTTCTAAAGGAATCTAATCATTTCATTCATGTCAAATAAAAGAACCTCATTACCCAGCCCATGTTTGCTTTCGATTCATTTTCAGCTTAGATGGGACCAGGTTTTACTTATTTATAGTCTAGTCTTTATTATTATATGGAGTTCTCTTTCAATCAAAATAAGTGTAAAAACTGTTTGGAAAGTTGTTGTTGGTTTTATGCAAATTCAAAAAATCTTAACCTAGAACTTAGGATTGAGTTTGAAAATGATTTTCTCATACAGTTGATGGGATGTTTTGCTTGTAAATTTTATGTATTGCTGATTCATTTTCAGCTTTTATTTGAATGGATTGTATCTAATCAAAATATCCAGCAATATTTGATGCATTTGTTAATGAACAAAGTTGGAAGCCTCTTCAGAACTGGCCATTCATTTATTAAATTTATTATTCATTTTATGCTTACATCAATCATATTGCTTATTTTGTTGAAATAATAGAACTTCTTTTTGTATTTTTTCTCAATTTCAATATACACAATTCTAATTTATGCAAAATGTTTATTAAGTAAATCTATAAATCCCTACTTAATTTCTTGCCATTCTTTTCATTCTGCTTCTTTTTTTTTCTTTTAACTCATTGATTACTTCTCAATTTACAGAGATTTTTTTATTTTATTTTTGTTTGTTGTATTGTTATCCTAAATTGTATATCTGCACTTTCTGAGTAAAAATTTCCTTTCATGGAAATCTTTTTAGACTGTATTTTGTTATGAATTTCATTGTCAATTTTCACTTGACATTTTCACAATGTCAAGTGAAAATTTACACAAAAGATATTAAGTATACATTGCAATTTTTCCTTTTTAAAATTCCTCTATATGACAGTTCTAATATTTACTGGCTGTACAAGATTTGTTGTGATGAAATCTTCATTATAATTTTGTAAATTAATTAGCATCATATCATTTTATGATGTGCAAATAATCTTCCAAGATTAACAAATAGAAAAATATAACTTTAGCCTCTAGAAAAAGTGACAAAGTTAAGAAACTTTGAAAAATAATTCTAAAATGCTTTGTCAACTTATTTTAAATCTGGGATCATTTGTTTGATATAGAATTTTTACAAAATTTGCTTCATATATAAATGGATTTCATTGCATTTATTATAGCCTGTTTCCTTTTGATAGTGGTATTAAATATTTCTGCTTTATTATATAAAAAAAAATCTTTCTGAAAATTAAAAAACAAAATTGTAATTAAAAATAAGATAAGTTTATTAGTAGACAAGTTGGTATGTTCACATGCATAAGGTACTGGGTCATCTCATATGTAATGTTTGTTTTCAGGTTAGAAAAATATAAAACTTCATGTTTGATTAAAATTTATTCATTACTAGAGATTCTCTCATTATGAATAACATCTTTTCAAAAGTACAAATTATTTACAGTGCATCACTTAAGTTCAGGTCATGTTTTCTAAACTTTTCAAATCATCTTTTACAGTTTCTTTTGTTTAAAGACACACTCTAAATATACTTTGGGTTACCTTTCATCATTATTATCTTTTCTAAACTCCTAGAGCATTACAGTCTTATATGCTCTGTAGACATGTTTGTCTTTAGGAGGGTTAAGTCAGTTAAATCATGCTGTAACAATGTAATCTACTCTTTTGAAACTGAACACACATGTCCTAGCATGTATTATCATTTAGGCATTTTAGAATAGCAAAAATATAATTCATTCTATCACTATCAGATTTCAGATATTATGTACAGGATGACTCAATATTTATTAAAAAGAAAATTGGCAAAGTTTAGTATGTACACCCACAAAAAACGGTGTCAGAAGAACATGTTTTCCCTTGATACCACTATAACCATATACTCCCTCAGCAATTGTCATTGTTTTAAAAAGCTATTTTTAGAATTTTAATGAAATCTAAACCTGAAATTAGATTTATGCATCCTCTTTTTTCTTGGGAAATTAATAACAAAAAAATTAAACACTTTTATTAGATTATTTACATGAATAATTTTATATTTACAAGTTTATAAAAAGATGTGAACCAACTACAATACAATATTTTGTTTACTATATTATAAAGAAACAACCGAAAAGAATTTTTTTTATTCATAAATTTATAAAAATGTCTGAACAAGAAAATTTAATAAATGCATAACAATGAGTAATTGTAATTATAAGTGTTGTGTTATAAATAGGAAAGGTTGACACACATAGAGAAAGTAAGAAGTAGTTTATTCTGAAGAATATTATGGTACATGATTGAGAACACAGATTAATGTAATAAACAATTAATTATTAAATCCTCTCTCTCTCAGTAAGAGAGAGTGCTGTTTAAATAGTCTTAGAACAGTCCATCTTATTGGGGTGTTCAGCTACTCCACAACATTAAGTTTTGAAAAAATGCATTTTCTGAACATTTCTTTCATTTTCTCTCACCATATAAATTCAATAAAAGAGGTTGCGAGCATCTGAATTTATATTTTTCTTGAGAATTGACAAAAAAAATGTTAAACACTATTTATTTATTAGACCATTTATGTGCAAGAATAAAATTTAATCCTTTTCCTGCCATTTCTCAAGAAAAAAAGAATGCATAAATCCAGTTTCATATGTTTGGATTTTATTAAAATTTAAAAGATAACTTTTTTAAAACAGTAATAATTGCCAAGGGATATGCAGTAATAGTGGTGTCAAGAGAAAAAAAAATGTCCTTTTGACCAAACTTTGTTTGTGGGCACTTTACTGAAAACTGTATATTAAATTGTGACCATGTACAAATTCTAATGTTTGCTCATTATACAAGATTTGTTATGCTGAAGTCATTATTATAATCTTGTGAAATCATAGGGTTTTAATTGCCACAAAAAATTGGCAGGCAGGATTTCATGACTATGTTTTTCTTAATCTGTTGAAATAATTTGATTTGATATTTTAATACATTTTTTAAATTATTTCCCAAATATATAAAAGTCTGTTTCTTTGAAATTCAGATAGTTCGATCTTTGTTCTGTTCAAAAAACTAATGCTAATTTTCACTTGAAAACTTTTTCTCAACTTTGTGACCCCTTAACTTTTTTCTTCCCTAAAAGATTTTATATTGAAAATGTAATGACAACATTTTGCTTCAATTATTGCAATAGGGACACTTGGCTTTCTTTTCCCAACACTTTTTCTTTTTGAAATTTAATCTTGACATTTAGAGCTACAAAAACTAATCCAGTTTATCAACATGTAAATCACATATCAATATATGAATTCCTTTTGAAATAAACATGTAGAATACAAAAAAGATAAGAATATAAAAAATGAAAATGGTAAATAACCCAATGAAATTTCATGGAAATTTTTCCTAATTGTAAAAAAAGATTTATTTTACACAAGAATTATATATCATCATCTTTAAAATAGAATAAGTTACCATGTAAGTATTCTATGTGAAAGTTGTAACATTTGAAAAATTCATTCAGAATTTGAATAGAATATTATCTGAAATTATTAATGAAAAATATTCAAGGTTAGACATATTATGAGGAGATAAAATGTCATTTTTTCCTTAAAAGCCCAAGCTGTCACTATCAGCTGTCTATAGCAAAATTGCTGTAATAAACTTTATTTCAGTAGCTATTCACAACTTTTAACAATTAGCTTCATCATTCATGCATCATGGTAATTAAGAATATTTAAAACAAAACAAAAATCAATGTAAAATTGATTTTAATTGGT